CACAGGGGACACCGTCAGACGACTGTATATAGCATAGACAACTGTATATAGCATTGACAGACAAGTGTTTGTAGCACAGACAACAGTATATAGCATAGACAACTGTAAATGTCTGTGACAACTGAGGTGGGTTTTTTTTTTGCACAGACAGACAACTGCAAAAAGACAGACAAGTATATTGTGAGTAGAAATAAGTGTACACGGCGGGAATGTTCTCAAAGAGTTATGGGATCAGTTCTACTCTGCCAAAGAGGCGGCTGACCTTTTTGTTGAAAATCCTTCGTTGGCGGTTGATGGGGAATTCCTATTATTAACGTAATAAAGATATTGTTTAGAGCGATGGCCGAGTCGTTGTACGGCGAGGAAAACGTGGGCGGTTGAAGGAGATGTGGGCGGTTTCTGTATTTCATCTTCATTATTTTTCGTTGACCGATAAAATGGTGTTTCCTGTCTTTGCTGAGTGGTTTGGGGAGCATGCTTTATCTTGCGAATTCACGTGGGGCGCACCGTTAGCTCAGTTGGTATCATGTTGGACTACGGAGTGGATAGATAGCCTGGGTTCGAATCCCAAACGGAGTGTTCTGAGCTTGGGTTGTTTGGGAAAATTCAGCTCCATCGGGGATGGGTATATTATAATTTGGAGGTCCCGCCTCTTAAATAACCTTACTGTGTTGAAAACGGCAATAAAGCTATACAATTTCTAATTACATACATGCAATAACGCTGGCCAGTTGAAGTATCTGTGTATTTTTTAAAAAGGAATGTGCAGTATATCATTATGATGATAATAGTGGCGATGGGGACGATAATTATACAGGTGGTTGGAAGCCACTGTTTGGTACTACAACAATGATATTATACTCTTTTCTTCCGGTCTTTTGTTTCTGTATTACTGTCTTAGTTTTTGACTGGTGCAAAATGGCCGTTGTATAGATGGGCTTCTTTTTCCTGGAACAAGACGATCGTTTTAAAAAAAGAACTCGGCTTTCTTTTGGGTTTTGTTGTTGTTGGGGTGTTTTTTTTTGGGGGGGGGGCGCTAGAATATTTCTAGATAAGGTGTGGATAGGGATACCAATATGGCATGAAGGATGGATACGGGCGAGAGACAAGAAGAAAAACGGGATGACTCTATAGATTCTGTAAATGGTTTAAGGGTGCTATTGGAAGGTCCTACTTTTTCCTCCACTCCATTGTAGGGCTTTGTGTCTATCTTGCTTTAAATGAGTGTAAGGGTTTTCACCCCTATCAACGCTTTTTGGCTATTTACGAGTCTGGACCTCCGAATTTAATGTCCGTCTCCAATAGTGCCGAACCAAATGGCATGAGAGCCTTGAGAACTCACAAATTCACCAGAGTTCAAAAACGACCAGTTTAGGATTCGAACCAGAGTCTTCCGCTCCGAAGTCCAGAATGATACTAACTGAGATAACGGAGCTGCCTTGCTTTTTCTCCCTTAACTAAACGAGCGTTAAGGTATCGTGGAGCTTGTAGGTCCCACTTCTTTTCTTTCTCTCTAATCTTTCAGTCCGTCTTATTTTGTTTCTCCGTTTTTTTCAGTCTGTCGGTCTGTCCTACTTTTTCCTGGCACTAAAAGACAGTTATTGTGCCAGCGTGCTTCTCTTTACTGAAACAAACGAATGTTTAAATTAAACCTGAAGTAAATTACTTGTGTCGATGCCCTTCTCTTCGCTTAATCTGTAACTGAAACACGTGTTTATTTGCTTCTGTTTAACAGTACCATTCAAAGTCTGTCATGTTTTTGCGTGTTGCAGCTCAGTGGAAATCCGAGCTGAGCTACTCGGACGTGGAAGAGGCCGGGGGACGTAGGGAGTCCTTGGACACACCAGGGGACGCCGTCAGCAACCTGCCCTCTACACTGGCCGCCAACACGGGAGTGCCCAGCCCAGGTAGGACCGTGCTCATCCGTGTGTGTGTGTGTGTGTGTGTGTGTGTGTGTGTGTGTGTGTGTGTGTGTTTCTGTCTGTCTGTGTGTGTCTCTCTTTCTCTCTGTCTCTGTGTGTGTGTCTCTCTTTCTCTCTCTCTCTCTCTCTCTCTCTCTCTCTCTC